TAGGAGTCGTGTAAGCCATGTCAAGCACGTGCTGTAGGGTTTTATTCATTACACTCTACCTTCGATTTGACCATCGGTCTGCGGATGATCCGCTGTCGACACATTCAACTTGGTGTCCAGCACCTTGAAAATAGTCGACCAAATTTTTCCCGAAAAACGGGGGTCTCTCTCTATCATACACAATCGACTCTGGGAGTCCGTGTTGACGGAAAACACGATCCACGAACAGCGTTGCCGTACCGACTCCGTCGATGGTATCTCGCACCGCCGCCAAATGAGCCATCTTGCTCAACCGGTCGACGAATACCACGACACCCGTGTTGCCTGCCGAGTCTTTCGGCAGGCCAAACACAAAGTCCAAACTCATGGATTGCCAGCGGCCAGTGGGTACTGATAAGCTGGCCAGTGACGCAGCCGCATTTGGAGAGGGTTTTACCCGTTGACACGTCTCACACGTGCGCACATAGGTGCTCGTCTATTTTTACAACTCGGGCCACCAATAGGGTAGCTCACAGAGTTGTACGTTCTCTCATGACCGAGATGACCACTGAGTGGCGTGTCGTGCGCCTCATAGAGGATGTGGTATTTCAAATCCTCATCATGAGGAACCACAATTTGGGTGTATTCGATATATCGGTGCTATAGTACAGCAACCCGTTGTTCAACGAATATCGGTGCAATCGAGCACGCAGCCTTTGTGACAATTTTTTGTCCGAGTTTCCAAACTCCTTGCCCCCTAGAGCCCGTAGCAACGCTACACATATCTCATCACTTGCATACGCGGTGCGGATCAAATCTGTCACAGACGACGATACAGTTGTAACATAAGCAAGCTCATAATCTGGCATGCGTGACAACGCGTCAGCCATAGCATTCTGCTTTCCCGGCTTATACCTTACCTCGAAGTTATATTCCGCAAAGAATGATATCCATCTAGCCATCCTCTGCGAGAGGTGGGGCGACTGAGTCGCAGTGCGTAATGACGCATGATCTGTGTAGATCAAAATCGGTTTGGAGCCGAGCAGGTGGACCCTGATCTTGACAAGTGCATACTTCATCGCAAGTAGCTCCTTGTCATGAAATGGGTAGTTCTTTTCCGCAGCTTTTGAGCTGTCGAGATTCGAACGCGATCACCCGATCTCGCCCCTCGCCGTCTGCTTGCAGCAGTTCACAGCCGATAGCAAAGTCCTAAGCGTCACAGACGAAGCTGAAAGGACGATCGAGATCTGGCATTGCCAGGATTGGTGCATGCAGGAGAGTATCTTTGACCCCGACAAAAGCCTCCTGATGTTCGATGTTCCAACACCATTCCGTATCCTTTTTAAGGAGATTGGATAATGGCTGCGCCATTTCTGCGTAATTTACTGTGTACTTGTGTAAGTAGTTGGCGAGGCCAAGCCACTTACGCAAGTCTTTCTGGTTCTTTGGAACCGGCCAATCTACAATGGCCTCGACTTTAGCGGGATCCGCTCGAAGGCCACGCTTCCCAATGATGCACCCTAAGAAGCAAATTTCTTCTGCGCCGAAGATGCACGTGTCTGAATTGGCGTACAGCTTGTTAGTGTGCATGCACTCGATCACCGCTCTTAGATGGACGATGTGGTTCTCCTCATTCGTCCTCCCGTGCTCCGCACGACTGTCAACGAAATGTCGTCAAAATATGCCTGTGCATACGCCCTGTGGGGCCTGAACTACTGCGTCACAAGACGATTAAATATGGCTGGTGCATTTGACAGCCCGTAGGGCATCACAAACCACTCTCAGAGCATA